AAAGTTAGTGACAGACCTTTAGATGATGATGATCTCCCTACACTTAAAAAAATAGTTAGGATATTAATTGATGGATCCCATTCAAATTGTCCAGATGCTTTAGGATTTACTGTTGAAGGATTGGCTTTGGTTAGTGAAAAAGGGTGTAGTAGAAAACTTTTAATTTTGAATCAAAATTGTATGTTAAAGAGGTTTCATGAAGCGATTTCTCAAAAAGCTGCAAATCAAAATCAAGATGGTCAAATGTGGATACTTCAATTGCTTATGGATTTTCAACAATCACAAAAAACTTCTTATTGTTTAAAGAAATTCAATCAGAAGAAGATCAAGTCACTGAAATATTACGTACATTAGCAACTCATCAGAACCAATCTAAACAAAACAAAATAGATGAAATTGATCCAGATGATTTGTTTGTAATAGAAGATGAAGAAGTTTATTGGATCTCTAATTTGATCTTTAAAAATCATGTCTCAATGGAATTAGTGGGAAAAATCAGTAAATCTGGAAGTCACAAAGTTTGTAGATTGACTGGTACAATTTCATTAAATTTGTTTGAAATACATTGACCAAGACTGATAATCAAGGCAGCTGAATTGATTCAGGTCAATTCATTCTTTGTAGGAGAGAATGATGTTTGCACATACATGAGTTGTAAAGCGCAAGAGCAATCTTAGTCATATCAAATAACAAAATGAAGATCTATTTTTTTGCATTTACTTTCAATTTACTTTACTTGCCTTCAGTGTGAACAACATAGGGGTTGAGTTTCATGTTGAAAAAGTGTGACATGACTTGGTGAGAACACAGTGTCCCTGAGGGGTTTTGTGTTGGTAAAAATGTTCCAGTAAATGGGAGTCCATGAGACACAAATTCAAAAATTTAGAGTCCATGTGTGAAGATCAAGGAGTTGTCAAGGGAGATGTTATCACAAGACAAAGCAAACATATGAAAGGTAATCATGTGGCTACTGCTTTAAGGGCTGTAAGATCAGTCATACAAGCTGACCATGTATGGCATCTGTGTGGTTTGTTGCAATGTACTGAAGATCAGGAAGTGTTTGAGTGGTAGAGCAAGAGCTGTGCGGCGCCCGCCGCTGATTGGGCTAGTCATCTTTGTCAACGAATGAATTGACCGAGGGTATATGTCCCGCCTTGTGTGGGTAGGAGAGTTCTTTCAGCAAACGGTCTGCGTTGTTGGGATATTTGTTTTCATTTGTTGCTGTCCAGTCTTCTGCACGTGGGGCCAGGATTTTTGAGATGTGAGTCAATCTTCTTTTTCCTCTCCGTTGAAGGGTCTGCTTTTAGAAAGGACAAGTCGTTGATCATTCTCAATGATCCGTCGTTATTCGTCACGCTCCCCATAAGTTTCAAGCGAAAGAAGCCCCATTTTTCGTATACTTCTTCATGACTGAATGGGCCGAATACGCGCCCAGCTTCTTTTTCTTTATATAAGTTGTTCATGATCTTTTCTTTCACTGCTAGAGCTGACTTGTGGTTATCCGGGGTATACCACCTTAGGTTTCCTATTTGGTGATCGGGAATTCCCTGGTGAAACCCTGTTTTCAGAGCTTCCAGCACGTGGCTCCATTTCTCCAATACTTTACACTCCTTCATGAGCTCCTCCCACTCTTCTAGCTTCATGTCACATGTAGCTTCAGAGGGCCATCTGCAATTGGTTTGTGGCGCAATTTCCACGTTTTCGATTACCACAGGCTCATGAGTTTGGATTCTAATCACATCAATTCAGGGGGGGGCAGACGACACATTGGAATCAGTTATCACATGTGTACTTCCTCTCATCTAGGAAACATGACAATCAGGATCTATTAACAACTCGTGGTATATAGCGACATGGGATCAAAATGACATAAACTCAAATGCAAGTAGGACGATGCATTTTGAACTCTGGAGTTCGTAATTATATAGGATTGTGTATACAAAGTTCTATTCAAGTGCTGTAGGTCTTTTAACAAAATCATTTTATCCACTCTATTCGGTACTTACTTATTTCCACCTGCAGGTCCTTTTCCTTTTTCTGCGCTACCTCCACCACCACCCGGTACCTGCGCTCCTTCTATCAACAACTGCTTAGGTGGCACGAAACTACCAGGGCCGATTGCCGGCCTTCCACGTGACCATTGCAGTTGACCGCCACCTCCGTTCTGTCTGTGTTGATTGGAGGTATGGAAGTCGGTGAAATGGATAGGGAATGATCTTTGTGCTCCGTTAACGTGACCTCCTCTTGAATGATGATTATTAGGTCTACCTCCTCTTCTATTGCGTGAAGGACCTGCCTGGGCTGTGTAATTGTCGCGGTACGAAGTAGACGGGAGGGGGTTTAGGGCTGAGATGAGTCTTCCACCGGTACCTTCAAGTTTCAATTCATTTATGGTATTCAACCCATCCCAGGAGTTATACTCAGGATATATCTGACCATCTATTGGGCTTTGATTTTGAAGAGCGTATCCTAGTGCGTACGGGTTATCGTCAAAAACATCATCTTTCACAAACTCTGAGTCTCTAATCGCCTGTTTCACCAACAACTCGTTTCTAGTACCCACATCGGACATTTTACCGTCCGCTAATCGGTGCTCCCAGATGTTCTGTTGTTGAGCCATGTCATACCTAAAGGCTGGCATCCATCTTCCCTGGTTCTCCATTTGGATTTCTAGCACAATTGCTTTGTGAAGCACAAGTCTTGGAGCGATCGGGTAGGATAGTTGACTAGGGAGTTTGTTGTATATGGTCCTGTGGTATTGGACCATCAAGTCGAATTGCTTTGACCATTCTGCGCTGGAGAGTCTCCATTCACTCAGGACCGGGAGACCGGGGTACGTAATCACATCTGAGGAACAACTAGCTATCTTTGTCTTCTTGGTACTCATGTGAGCCTTATCTAACAATAGCCAATTCACATTAAAGATTGAAACTGGCACATGTCGGTTTTTATTGGTCATGAACTTATCAAAGTAGTCGGATAGACGAGGCATTGTATGTGACAAGGTTGTACCCTCTTCAAACGTGGTGCTCACCTCTTCTTTTTTCTTTTTTGGCTTTCTTCGCAGGAGGATGATCATCTTTGCTGTCCACTTCGTTCTCGTCTGGACTATCCTCTTCGTACAATTTTGGGTCTCTCTCATTTGTCTCGTTTCGCTTACACCATGTTGAGTAAGACTTTTCTAACATCTCAAGCTTTGTGGTTTTCCCCTTCACGAATGCTGATTTGATGCTATGAATCCATTTTCCGTGAGCTAGACAGATCTCCGGGCTCTCTGCATCTTCAACGTCGGCGTCTGGTTCTGATTCATAACAGGTAAACATCAGGTCATGGTAAGTATATATTCTTTAGCACTACAGCCCTTTGACTTTATACATCTTCATCAGATCTAACTGGAATCACTACGGAATTGTACCGGAATCAAGCAAAGAATATCTCTTCAGAATTCAACCGGAATCAAGCCTTTGGAGTTCAACCGGAATTAAGCAAGATGTATCCTTTGGATTTCAACCGGAATCAAGCAAGACGTATCCTTCGGATTTTAACCGGAATTAACCAGGACTATTCTTTGGATTTTAACCAGATTCTAGCATCTTCATAAATCACAGGGAAAATTAAGGAATTCACACAGCATTATACTCACGTAGTCCTATGAGAGCACCGCCGACATCTCCATCTCTAGGTGGATCATCATCATTTCCAGTACCTTGTGCCTTGTTTCCACCGTGATTTTGGTTCGAGAGGGTTCCTTGGTCGGTAATCTGATTACTCGAGTGAGTCTTGTTGCCTTGTGAAATGTGGGACGGATTCTCATCTTGACCTTGGATATTTTCATC